TACTAAAAAACATTGAGCCTCTCATTCGCTAGGTCTCGCCGTTTGTTTTAAACCTTAAGTCGTGTTTCCTTCCGTCAAAATGCAAAGAAATAAAATTTGATGAAAAGTTTGTAAGGTTCCATTTCGAAGTACAAAAATATATATTTAGAGAGTAAAATCTTGTATTTGTATTACTTTCTATATATTTATACTTTTTTTTTTCAAACTGAGCCTAAAGGAATTTTGTGAAAATTAATAATCTGTTTTTTTTTTTTGTGAACCAAGCAAACACAACCTAAGGGTATCTAAGTATCAACATACTAGGACAAATGATGGTTACCTATTAACGAGTGGAAACATGCTCAACTCACAAAGCCTGGGAATGAATGGCATTGTTGGAACAGCCCAGGTAACAGACAAACAACTTCGCCTTCCTTGAAGGTCGATACAAATTAAACAAGTTTGCAAGTGGGTTTAAATGTGAGACGATTTCGGGTTTTCTTAAGGATCCATTTGTTTCACTTCAATAAATGGGGCGGAAACCGAAATTCCTTTCAACCTGGATTTTGTTTGTTCTTTAGGCTCGATTTAAAAAGAACATAAATAAAAAATGTACAATATGAAAATATAAACTAATACGAAATATAAGGTTTTGCAGTTTATATATTTGTATTTCTACTCCTTCCAAATTGAGTTTTTACAACAAATAGGACCTAAAAAAGGGTAACAAAGTGGATTTGGTGAAAAGTGAATGAAATAAATACATGATAAAAGAAAAAAAGAAATTAAAACATGACAAAGTAGATCAATAGCAACATGAATCTCATGGATGTATAACAAAGGTTGCAACTTGCAAGCATGTGAAATACATTAAAAAGCTTAGGGTCCATTTAATTTATAAACAGAGTTGGAATTAGAACCGGTCTAAATCCTTTGAAATTGGTCTATAATCTGTTAATTGGCTCAAACAGGAATTACACTGAGAATTTGAACAACCTAAAATGGAATTTTATTTCCAAAAGAGGGAGAGGGAATAGAGGAATGGACATCATCTCAAACGGAAGAATGTCAATCCATCAGGAATGCCCAACCAAATAGTTGGAGGAATGGCCATTCCAATTGTGTGATCCAAACCCCTATTGCTGAGAACTGAATAGGCCCTTAATTATCTATCTTGAAGTACGGTACATGTTCAATTTTTTTACAGTGTTTCATGCTTAAAAATCATTACATTATTTTATTTTACCTTTTCTACCAATAAAACTATAACAAACTCAAAATAAATTAAAGGAATTTATTAAAGATCTGACTATCATACCGAAAATACATGATAGAAATCTTATGAACAATCAAACCCTATCATAAAAGTGCTAACCAATCAGGTGATTTTTATCAAAATTCACGAGGACTTTGATTGGTGTTCTTCTGCCTTCTCAAACCATACTTTTCTGGCATCATAGATATTTTCTATTTTATTTTAGTTTTTTTAACATAAAAAAAATCCCCTTTTTTCCACGAAGAAAGAATTGCTCCAAACCAATAATACTGAAAAATAAGAAGTTTACTCCAAACAACTCTTCTGAAATTAGAATAAATATTTGCACTAAAAAACAGAGTTAAATATCGCTGCCACCACGGTTTGGGGGTTAAGGGGATGGGGGATGGGTTACGAGTTCAGATCTAATCCGAAGACAAAGGTCCTGATAACTGCTCCCAACGGCATTACAGCCCAATCCTTATCTCTTGTCCACAGGAATCCTACCCATACCTACTCACAAGACACTCACATATGTATATTGGGAACTGATGAGGGCGGATTTGGCCCTCTAATGACATCATGATACATGGCATCTCAGAACAGTTGGATGATACATCGACACCACTTAGGTGATTACTTGTCTTAGCCAAAGATATGGAGTCCAACCTGGCGACTTGCACCACCACTGACCTGACAAAAACCTAGTTGACAACCTTGTCCACAACTCTGAGCGGCTTGTAGCACCTCGTCCAGGGGCCGATCTATGGCACCTCGTTAGTACAGTAAAAATGACCTCCCTTGAGGGCTTGCTGACCTGATTGAGGTCCAGATGATGACCTGCAAGACGTGTTCACCGACCAATTCGGCATGCATATCCCAACACTCTCGGGTTTCTCGGAATTTGGCCCCCGTACCGAATGTTTCGAATGAAACCGAACAAGGCGCGAAGACTGATCTACGTGCACAACTACCTCCGAGGACATCGGGCTAGTTAGGCACGTCTTCCCGGAGACCTCGGACACGGTGCGTAAAGCCCACGCCAAGCAACGCCTATATATAGGCCTCACCTCCAATCTCACAGGGGGAAGATACATGCGATTATTTGCATACTAGCTCTCTCATTACAAGCTTTCAGCTCGCAATACAGCTACTACAAACTTAAGCATCAAAGTGACCACGCCGGGTTAGCTACCCTGGGTCCTCTGACATTGATTCCTTGAAGGTTTCTCTAAAGAGCTACCCAACTCGGCATCTAAGTCTTCATCCATCATAAATCCTCCATCTCGACCTCTGAGTCATCAACCACCAAGAAGTAGCCAGACGACTAGAGAGCAGTCAGATCGCACACCATCAATCAGCATCCAAATCACCTATAAGCGGGGTGTTCTCAATGTGCCGTTGTAGTGATATGTGGGGAGGAGATCCAAACCATGCATTAGGTTGCGTTTCGTTGCAGTGCAATTTTATTTGCACTAGTACAAATACATAAGAGTGCAAATGAAAAAAATGCAAATTGTGGTTTAACTTTGTTTTGAGTTTTACTTTATATGTCTTAATTTATTTTATTTGTACTGCAATCAAACTAAATAAGCTAAAATTAAAAAAAAAAATAGGTCAAAATTTCTTGCCCTGATCATAAGATGTTGTGGCGTACAGCTGCAATGGCTATGAGGGACCAGATATGGACTCATGGGATATCCCTGTTGTATAGTCCCATGAAACCAAAATATAAATAAATAGAAAAAAGAATCAAAATTAATTAGCAGGAGCCGTAACAAAAGGGAGAAGATTAGTAGAGGTAGTGAGACGAAAGAAAGAGCACATACGCCAGTTTAATTTATAGGACTGAAATGTTAATGCCATGGTGTTTATTAATTTTGTAAATGCAACTTGAAAACTCCATTACTTATTTACTAATTAAGCTTAGACAAATTTGTGTCCTTGCATTTAATTGGATGTCATCTCTCTCATTATTTTTTCCCCACTTGAGTTCATTGTAATAATGTTTGCATGGGCTTTGGGGGCAACAGTTTCATATGAAGGGAATGTGATTGGATCTGTAGAGAGAGAGAGATATGGGATCCGAAATTTCCCTTCTTCAAAGTTCAAACTTAAGCCTACGTCCAAAGTATGGTTGTTGATCTTGGTTATTTGTTTGAAAGGACCTCACATGTGCCAGTAGCTCAGAGGTAGAGCGAGAGCTTGGTTATTACATTCAATGCGGAAGTGCTTTGATGTCATGGGGCCGGCTGGGCAATGGTTGTGGAGACTGGAAGATAATATGAGCTGTATGTTAAATCCCCAAATCTGGGTTTAACTTATGGGTCATAGTCAAACATAGAATTCCTGTAAAGTTGCCTGTCCAAAACTGGCATTGGCTTGCTAACCAAAACATAGGATCCATCCAGGTCATCTGCTGCTCCAATTAATAAGAGTAGAGAGAACTGGGTATCAGTATCACCATTATTATTGTTATTATTTTTTGTTTAAAACTAAGTCAACATGACATGAATTAGTACTTGAGCTTTAAGGTTTAAAACATAGGGCATCTTTCCTTGAAAAGAGATTTATTTACTAATTTTAATTGTTGAGATTTGAGACATGGACCATCTCCAAGGTGGAATAGAGAAGGTTTGAATCCGTTAGTCCAAGTCCAACAGACGCCCGAGCATGGAACAACTGATAATTTATTTACCAGAGTAGTATATACATATATATATATATATATATATATATATATATATAGTTCTTTTTATGTAGTCAGTGTGTGAAATACGCCCTTGGCCTTGGGGGGAGATGTGCTGAAGAGTAAAGAGTCGAGTCAGGCCTCTTGCTCTCTTGCACTCACGTCTCTCCAATAAAACCGTGATCAGGGCAGGCCTAACATAGAATTAATCGTGTTCATTTTGTTATATGCACAGCACAGCGGTATGCCGGTGCACTACTACTTATTGTGAATTAAGAAGAAACGTAACGCATAGAGCAGTTTGTTAAACTTAAAAAACAAATTGAATCATTCTGACTTTTGAATATTCCTAGTCTTACTAGTAAGAAGTAAGAACGTAAACCGGATCATCCTCCATTCCATGTAAGCGTGCGTGGTGGCGCATCTTTTTCTTTTATGATATAGTAATTAGGGCAAATACATACGGTTAAGGGCAAGATGGGGGTGGGGGTGGCCCCCACTCATTCCTTGGGATCATATCACTGTCACGGCTGCACTTCCATCTCTTGCCGTTTCCTGCCGGAAACCACCTTGATCTCCTTTCCAATTAGAATTCAAACTCGATCCAGAGCCCATAGGGCTAGATGGGGCATGGGTTCTTCCAGTTCCAGGTTACCCAGTGCTTTGCTTTTCCGCATGTGTTTCTCTCAAGTCTGTCTCCTCTGCGTCAACGAGGATAATGGCTGTGAACGGAGGAGGACCGGAAGGTAGTAGTGACCTGGTAGGTATTTAGGTAATCCTCTTTTCAATCAATAAGAAAGGCAAGGCGCGCATTCCAGGCTTACAGCTATCACCCACTTCGAGTTTATCCTTTTTTTTACAAACATATCATTGTATACCATACACCTCACCCTCACAGTGATATGAAGTGGACCACTAATAGTAACCAACCACCTCTCTCGCCCCCACCAAAAATGGTAATGTATTTACGCAATTTTTACTTATAATATTCATAACCTCCCAATGCCACGTTTGTCAACTGCATTAACCCCTAACCCAACCTTAGATTCCAACCAAAACAAACAGGCCAGAAGAACATATCAAAATAATTTTTCATTTGCCAGCTCGACAACGACAAAAAACTTTATCAAATTCTGGAGCTGAGTCAGCTATTTACTACAACCGCAAAATAACAATTAAATTCACAAAGTCACGACACCTACAAACTTCCAAGAAAAATAATTAAACAAAAAAACTGCCTTATCTAATTCTCTCTCTCTCTCTCTCTCTCTCTCTCTCTGTACAGCTTTTACAGAAAACCAGCTAAGCTGCCGTTAGTAGTATCTCTATCTCACGGTGACGAAAACAAAACCTATCGCCAAAACCACTTAAAAATCAAGGAAATAATGAAAAATGGTAAAAAAAATTAAAAAAAATAACATGACGACAAAACAATCGGAATCATCAACCCAGCAAGTCCTGATGTTGGACTAACTCCTTCCTTAGCCTCTGAGAAAAAAGCCTGCAAGCATCCATGCTAAGATCCATGGCAGCAGCCAGCGCCACGAAAGCTGCTGCATCCTCCGTGCAGTTCACGTGCTGCACACTCACCTCCACTGTCGGCTTACTGCACTTTCCTTCCCCCTCCACCGTTGACGACATCACGAACCCTCTATACATGCAGTACGGCCACAGCCCATACCCAAAGTCACCACTGCTCTTTGGGCTACACGCCGGCGAGTTCGAACTTGCCGGCGTAGACCTTCCACTCCCACTCATGTCGATCACGAATTTGCCGCCTTTGCCAGTGCCGAGTGTGGACTCGGCAAGCACGATGCCATCTGCACTCATGCCACCATTCGTGTCGGACATGACCTCGAACCTGTAGCCAAGCCCATCATTGCTGCCTCGCTCGCGCCAGGCCTCGAGCCGGCCCCACGGTTTCCAAGTTCCATCGCCCGGGCGTAGAATAAGCCAAGCACCCGGGTTCGATCGGCTGACTCGGTCTGAACCAGGTGAAGCAACGAACGGGGTTACCATTGATGCGACCGCCACCGGAGAGCCAGATAGGTCGTGGACCGTGACCGACCACCCCTTGCGCTCCCTCCCAGGCCGTTCCCTCTCACTTCCAAATGAGCTTAACCAGCTTCTTGAACTGCTTGGTGATCTGTTGGCACCAGACTACGAGTTAATATAAATCGGCGTTTTTTAATTAAAAATAAAAGAGTTTATAAGAAGAATCACGGAACTAATTAATAATTTTTTGGGAAATTCGTGGTTTGACAAAAATCATACCATAAAAATCGACAAAATTTATGGTTTTGACTTGATAAAAATCGACAAAATTGAACTCTTTGCACGTTCAAAAAGAAGAATAATGAAATTCTTTTAAAATAAACGCTTCTTGTTCGAAATTATAAAGGCAGACCACTGCCGTACACGTCAAAGTTACAACTCTCACTTTTAATCAACCCAAACGCCCCGCCTACTAAATAGTAAGTAGTAACCATTTTGAAGGTAAAGAGAAAGTTCAGGGCCCTACTACATAGCTTTACCATACAACTTAAGCAGGTTTTTCGTTGACGAGAATGCTAAATCTACAGTAGAGAAGTAGAGAGTATACGTTGTGTATATAGGCGGCATTTTCCGAAGTTTTCAAGTAAAATAAAAACTGAAATGTTAAAAAGGAAATAAATCGCAGGAAAGCAAAAGGCCCCAAGTAACCGATTGGAAGACTAACCTTGACAACTGATTCCGGTCGCCGGAATTTCTGAAACTGAACTTGCAAGTAAAGACAGGCTGCCGGATGTTCCCTTGGATCTGAAAGACCTGTGGACTACACTCCGGCTCTCCGTCAAACTGAAACACGAACCTAGGATCAGGCTCCGCTCTCACATTCAAGTGCAACTGCACGGACGATCCCTTGGCATCTTTACCAACTGAAATCCAACCACTATGGAAAATAGAAGCCCTAGACTCCGTTCCCGCCAAATCCAAAGGCACGGAAACCCTCCCTAAGAGTCTTCCAGAGTTGACACCACACGTAGTCCCTCTCCGGCCAGTGTAGATCGCAATCTTCAAGCAAGGCTTCCAGGAGAAGATAGACTTACCGGCGAGCTTCTCTAGATCGGCTTTACTCAAGTGAAAACTCGCAGCTAGGGTGTGAGGTTGTTGACCGTCCGGGAACTGGTTCTCCGGCGGAATCAAGGGGACGATAGCAGTCTGTTGGGGGAAGTTCTTGAGTTTGATTTTGCAGAAACAAGGAGATGAGACAGGATGCACACCGCAACGAGAGGGTTTAGAAGCCACCGGAATCTTAAGAGCTAGGTTTCCGACGAGGAGACGCACGAAAGGACAAGGATCCATGTGCCCTTCCGGCGAGAGATGTTCACCTCTTCAATGGATAAGAAAAAAAAGTATAAAGAGTGGTTGATTGATCTAAAAAAATAGATCAGAGAGATTGAGAACACGAGCGGGTAGATTTTAAGGGAAGGGGGGAGTGATGCGATGGTGCATGCGCTGCAACAGGCTGGAATAGCTGGGCCGTAGAGAAGAATCCATCGAGATACGTGCGTCCATGGTGAGTTGAGCTGGTGCGCAGTGCGCACGTACGCCAAACCAATCTCCTCTTATACTAACTTACTTGTCTTCGGCTGTTTCCCAACCCAACTCTACTCTCCCCACAAATCTGTTATCTGTGGCCAGTCTTTCTCTTTCAGGTTTCAGCTGGAAAATTAATAAAGAAATCAAGAATTTCTCTCTATCTCTCGTCTATCTATTCGTCCCTCGCTCTAAGCTGTACGGAAGAAAGAGATAAAGCATTCATTAATTACAATTTCGTTGGCATCCAGCTGTTTACAGGCTGGGCACATGTTTTTTGCCAGTCCTACCCGAAGTCGACGGTATCTGGAACGGGCCCCCACCCCAACCCTACCCAGCCACAACTCCAACCCTGCGCACTGCCGCACTTTACCAAGTACAAAGCTCAAACCCCAGCCTTTAGTCCAGCTGGACTAAATTTACCCCCTCTAATCATGCTTATTTTACAAATATAAATGGTAAATGGTAGTAGTAAGTAATAACAGTATCCTTCATGATTCCTCTATTTTATCAAAAGCTGCCACTTGCCTTGTCCAGTTCCCCTGTCCCGCTCACTCCACACAGCATCAGTATTCAGTACTTCTTCTAGACTTTTAGTATGTTAAGAATTCGCGATGTGTAATATTCTTTTGAAGTCCGTTGAACTAAGCTGAGCTCAAAGTGTTTTTTCACGTACGAGTTACGGGCAGGGGATGCACACGGGATGGGTAATGGGTATCCTGTGCTGGGCCAAAGTATGGCCGGCTGAACTAATTAACCCACCGCTTGCCCTTACGAATAGATAAAGAGTGTTTTATTGTGCGAATGAAAAATTGGTGGTTATAAATTATATTCTGTGATTATGATCAATTCATCTATAATTATTTTAAATTATAAAAAAAATTATGTAAGTCAGAATAATTTACACCAACAGTAGTGTTTCATATAGTCGATTACATATCTCATATGAGATATATCTTATAAATATTTTATGAATAATAAATAAATAAATATTAATTTTAATGAAAAAGTATAATAAAATAAATAAAAATATTATTTTATTGATAAAATATTTAAAAATTAACATTTAAATAAATGGAAAAATAATGGAAATGAAAAACCATCAGATTTATGTTAAAATTAACATTAAAATTTATTATTTTATTAATAAAATATTAAAATTAAAAAAAAGAAAAACATATAAAAAAGATATATTGTATCAAAATAAAATTAAAAATATTATAAACCAACCACATCTAAGAAATATATATATATATATATATATATATATAAAACCGAGAATTTAGGAGGTGGGCGAAGATAATCCACTATATTATGAATCGTCCCCGTTCACAGCCAACCAAACACCATTGGCAATCCCTTGGCAAGAACCGAAACGGGCGAGCACGGAACCATGTACTAGCTAAAGGACCAAGGAGCTCAGCGAAACGTTCAGCCCATGACGGGCTAAACAGCAATTGGAAACGGACAGGGCGAGGTCAGCCTATGAAACTTTTAAAAAGCGTACCTAGCTAATGTGTCGTATTATGATTGGCACAGGCAGAGAGGATCGAAAGTGTCACGATAATGTGGCATAACCCACGGATACAGCAAAATTAGCTCTAATTACCTGGACTCAGTTGACATGACTCGTTGCAACGGATGCTGAGATCAAATCCCGCTGCCACCGGGGTTGGGGTGGGGATCAGGCCATCAGGGGATGGGTTATCAGGTTATGCTTGCACCAATCGGCCATCGCTCTTATTCCAGGAGGAACAGAGAGCACTTGTGGACACATTAATCCGTCCGACCGTATTGTAAAATCTATTTGATTATCAAAATTAAGAGAGAGAGAGAGGTGCATAGAACCAGAGAAGATGTGGTCAATAAATCTCAAAGGTGCGACCCACTCGGCCCAAAATTCCAAGAAGAAGATCCATGATGAGTCATGGGGTCCCAGACTGTCCAGCGAGAAGAGCACACTGTGACACTACAAAACTACTAGCTGGATGGCTTAAAAGCATCAATGAGACAATGACTGATGACGGTTTCTTGTAGGCATCAATAGTGGGCCAACGATCAAACCCGGTAACATCGACATGTAACAATTTATTTTAAATGTGTTTGATTTGAAGGAAAAAGTAGGGAAAGGAAACCTATACAAGTTTTTGTAAAGATTTCCTTTTCTTTTCTTACGTTGCCTTTAAATCAAACATAGCTTACCAATTAAATCATTTTACTGATTTTTTAAATATATTAAAAAATACAAATAAATTATATAAATACATTAGTAATATTAAATCTAAAGTTACTTAAAGTATAAATACATCAGAAATGCAGATTTTAATGGGTTATATAAAAGAAGCATTACAATCAACAATACACAACTCTAACATATGCATAAAATAAAAGAATCATTTTCAATTTTTAATAAACTTTTTGGACAATTCTATTTATTCAGTATTTTTATATAAATAATAACTATTTTTAAATAAGAAATATTGATGAAGAGTGATTTTGCCCGACCTAGTAAAGAGGGGACACGTGGACACGACCTGACCAAGAGATTATAACTCAGCCTAGCACGACCAGTCCGCAATAGATCGAGCTCAGATATTCAATCACCTCTGGATAAGGTGACCTTGGGACAAGGTCACATCGGGATGAGATCAGCTCGGTATCAGATTGCAACAGGATCACTTCAATCCCAAGGCACTTCAGCATTCAACTTAGTTCGGAACCTAAAAGCATCAGCTCGGGGATACCAACTTTAGATCACTACGTGGTGACCCCGAAAATCCCTCCAACGGATTCTGAACCTCACGGGATCACGCTGCATAACAGCTAGCATTATCTTCGCCCCGCCCGATTCGGGCGGAATTGATAAGCCTTATCAGTTGACGACGTTATCCCTCAATTAACACGGAAACGGATCTCATTGTGACGAAGATCCCGGAACCGATCCATGAAACCCACAATGACAAGCATAGTTTTTCAGCTCGCAACAAGTTTGCTAACTTAAACATTGGAGCGATCTCGTCGGGTTAGCCACCCCGGGTTCTTTGATCTTCCTCTTGCAGATCAACCTAGTCCGTTGTCCGACCGGAAAACAGATCACCTCCAGCAGGGAGCAGTTAGATCGCGCTACATCAAATATATTTTCTTTTCTTAGATATAATTTATATGTAAAATAAAACGTAAAGATCATTTAGGATAAATAAAATAAATTATTTGTATAACTTCCAGTAGTTATTAATTTTATTGTTTTCAAAAAACTAAATATTAAAATATTTATTTCAATTTTTATAATTATATAAAAGTTCAATAACAATCAAAAAGTGGTCAATATACAGTTTTGTAAAATTAGGCATCTATCTATCGATACAATTTGATATGGCCCATTTTGAAAGAATATAGTGCCGATATGTATGACTTGTGTGATATGTATGGCAAATCTTATATATAATTATGGATACTAAACTTGTTTAAGGGCTGGGTTTTGAGCTCGGGTTTTGGACAGGGCCCATTCAATATTTGGTAAAAGCCAAACCCGAACCTAGTCATGACCAAGGTTCAAAATATCAATGTGCCTGATACGCCGTTATGGGCGTATCGTTTAGGCCTCTTCCACACCCTAAATCAGAAACCCCTAATACACCTACTGTAAGAACATATCGAAAGGGTCCCAAAACGATATACTAATACGGACCAATACGTATTGATACTTTGAACCTTGATCATGACTCATGAACATATCTAATGGATATGGATATAGTATACCCGAATATTGTATTGAATACTTTGGACTTTGCTTTAAATTATATATTAACCAAAATATAATGAGGAAACAAGATTCATATAGCCGAAGCCGGTTCAAATTGGTTGGAATATGGTTTAAATGATGACTATGGTTTCAAAATATTCCGTTTACTGCAATAGCCGAGGGTCACGTCCTCCAATCCTTTTGCCTTATGTATATGTAAGATTTATAAGTAATTATGCACTGTAGTATACATGAAATGAAAGTAGTCTTTGTCAGTTATATCTATTTTGCTTTTACTTTTTCTACGTATCACCATTGCAGCTGGATAACTGCTGTGTGCTAATACTAAGCAAAGTATCAAAAAAGTTAATGAAAAGAAGAACTTAGTTCCTCGCTCAAAGCATAATATATGGTCCACGGAGGGATCTGAAATCAAACATGTTGACTGATGACAAACCAAATGACGTTCTACGGATCTCAAATTATAGACGTTTCGGAAGGATGCTGGTAGCCTTTTCCAGACACCACGTGAAATGAAATGATATTTATTTTGCTTTTCAATCAAATGGTTTCAGACCACAGATTCACATCTTGCAATGGGCTTGGCTCGTTGCGAACAAAAAAATATTCTAACGAGGTGATTTCCAGGTCTTACTGTAAATGTTTTCACAATATTTCTCAACAATCTGAAACGACGCGTGGTTGAATTTTCGACTGCAATCTTCTAGTTGTGACACAAAAATATGCAAACAGAAAACGAAATGAAAACTACAGATGAAAAGCAATTGGGCAAAAAAAAAAGAGAAAGAATAAGATTAATAGCAATAAATATTGGAATCCAGAGAGATGAGAGCCCATGACGCAATTTTGAAATGGGGTATTTGACTTGATTCGCAGAGGCCCATGATGACAAGCATAGTTTTCAAAACCAGACCAGACCGGATGATTCGATCGGAAAAATTGGGAATTGGTAAGGTGATTAATTTCGGTTTTTCTTAAAATCGAATTTTCTTTAAAAATCGTTGATTTTGGTCAACAAATAATTGACTCGGGTGATTAATCGTTCAAATAATTTTAACCTTTTTTATTTTTTATTAGAACGGGCCGATCGTTTGATTTAAACAGTCGGACTGTTCGACCCAGTAACCGGATCCTTAACGGTTCGATCCCCGGGTCGACTTTAAAAACCAGATGGAGAAAGAAATAAAAGTTGAAGGACACCACGGGGCCCATAAGAAATAGACAACTGTTGACTTTCGTACCATATTGAAGGTGAAAATGAAACAACTTTAAGATGAATGTTGAGGATGGTTTTAGACTTGTAGTCTTAGATCCTTCTGGATCATACTTGG